GAATAGCTAAGAAAATAATTAATTAGAGATTTCTATATAATTTATATTAGTATACTTTACTTATATAACAGAATAATCTAACTATTAAAAGTAAGATTATGAAAATAATATACTATAGTAATTATAAGAGTTATAAGATTATTAATAATAAATCTATATCTTTCTAATATCTATAAGTTACTAATTTCTCTGTACAAGACTACTAATATCTTAAGAATTAGTCTATTTTATAAATATAGACTGACTATCTTTATTATTGCTAGATAAATCTATACTATTTAGTAGTTAATTTCTTATCTAGTTAATAGATCTTATACTCTAATAACTAGATTCTATTATATTCTAATCTTTTCTTTTCAACTTTTTAAGAAAGATACTACTATAATAAGATAATAAAGAACTAGAGATAGTGACTAGATTAATATAGAATTATTATTAGATACCATATTATTAGATACTATTTCTATTATTAAAGAGATTCAATTACTTAAGAACTATATTTATTAATTAGAGTAGGTTGATAATCTATAATAAAAAATAATCTATCTTTAAGAAGATTATTTCTCTAGTAAACTATTATTAAGATACTTCTAATTAATCTCCAAAATAGATAAAGATAAGAAGAAAATTAGATTTACTAATATTTTTTACTTTATATTGAACTTTAATCTTTAGAAGTATTAGAAATAGATTATTAATTCAGAATATATATTTTAGAAATCTTCTACAAATTATTTATTAGAAAAATATAAGATTATTACTATTATTAATTATATAGATATAGTATACAGAAAGGGATAATCCTAATTTATTATAAATAAGACTCTAAAAGAAAAATAACTTCTTAAAAAATTATAGTCTTAATTTAAGAACTAGATTCTTATCTTAATTAGAAATACTATAATACTTTAGTCTAATACAATAGCTTAAATAAGTATACTAATAATATAGCTAAAAACTAAGGGAGTTCTATATTTATCTATCTTAGAATAGTATTTTTCTTATTAAGCTAAAAGAAAGAGAATTCTATTATACTTTACTAAACTTCTTTTAGAACTAAATTACTATATTTAGAAGTATATTTCATATTTATCTAAAGAATAGAAGAGAATAGTAACTATTATTACTTATTATTATAAACTCTAGAAGAATAAAAGAAGATATAAATAAAATAATAATTACTTTAATAGTTATAAGTTATAGAAGTAGTTTTGAGATTAGAACAATAAATTAATTAAGAATAATACTCTACATTGTAAAGGTTCTATAAAAAAGACCAGTAACTAATTATATTACTCTATGTATAAAAGTACTTAATATCTCATAAATTATTATTCCATTAAAGATAAGAAGATTTAATCTACTCAAATTTATTTATTTATTCTTTTTAGAATTACAAAAGAAAATAGAAATTAAAGTAATTTTTATAATTTCTACTTTTTTTATCTATAGTAGAAACTATATATTACTTTCATATTTCTATTCATCTTTAAAATAACTTTAAAATCTTTATATATCTTGAGAATGAGCTAAGATTACTAGATATAAGATAAAGCTTTTTAATATCCATTCTAATAATCTCATAATAATAAGCTAGAAATATCTTATAGTTAACTATATACTACCAGTAAATATTAGTACATTAATTATTAAATAGGTCTATCTCTATATATAGATTTCTATATTATTAATAAGCTATAGTAATAATAATATATAGTTATTATTCATATAAAAATTTTTCTAAGATATACTATATACTTATTTATAATGTAAAGAACTTCTTTATTAAAGTGAATAAAAATCTTATTCTTTTTATTTTTAGTTTTATAAAAAAAAGTAACTATAGTACTAGTCTAAAAGTTCTATAAGTTTAGCTATATCTCTAAGTATACTAGTAGATATCTAAGTTTATTAGTTAAAGTATATCTAGGAGAGTTTATAAATTTCTAGTACTTTATAGCTATTCTAACAGCTATAATACTATTAGTATAGAATAGATTGCTTTTTATTAAAAATACAATTAATTATGAAGATCTCTTACTTATCTATAATTTTAGATTTAAAATACTTTAATAAGTTATAGAGATAGTATATATACTATAGCTACTACTAGAGTCTAATTATTATATTATATATTGAGTATAATTAAGTAGTCATAGATATATAGTAATAATAATATATACTAGCTATTCTATCCAGTATATTAAAAGTCTAGTATAAAGAATATAATATACTAGTAGATAGAATATAGAATAAATATAATAGAATACTGAGAGTATTAACTAATAAATAAATAATATGAGTAGTAAAGAGAATAAAAAGAAGAGAAAAGAATAATTGTTGGACAACTTTCCTTCCTTGTCCTGCTGTCTTCCACCTGTATTTAGGATCTCGCGTAGCTGGAAGAGAATAGGAACAACTTCGCATGGTTACAACGTCTTGACGCCTCGGCGTCTAGAAATAGGACTTCGAGCCCAGCATATCAACTATAAGTTGATAGCCTATCCTAAACAATCTTGGGTCCCTCCAGACTTATTTTTTAGAGTATAGAAATCACTCCTCTACTACCTCTGCCTCGATCCACTCCTCCGCCCATTACCCTTACTACTAGACAGAAAAGACAGGGTCTGACTATCTTCCTTATGTAGAAATAGCTGCGACGCATTAAACTGGACTATTAGATTATAATATTCTATAATATATCAAGAAGCTGATATATCCACTAACTAGATAATAATAGAGTATACTATACTATCTATATTATTAGAATATCTAAACTATCTAAGTTAGTAGATACTGTTCTCCATTCTTTTAACTAGAATATTAACCGTCCGATTTTAAATAAGACTATCAGAGAATTTAGATATTTTATTAAATTCCTACTCTTAGAGTCTATATACACATCTTAGCTAGTAGAATAGTTAATTCTAGGAATTAATCTAGATTAATTTCTTAGATATATAAGATTAAGATCCTAATCTACTAATAAAGTATTATTCAAACCCGAGTATATAAGATCTATAGAAGTAGAAGAAGTCTAATTCTAAATATTAGAAGAATTAATTCTCTTCTTCTCTATAGACTCTCTACAGAAGAATTTTAATAAGATATCTGAATATTTAACTCTATAGATACTAAGATAGCTAGTTCTAGAAGTATTTATATTATCTATATAAATTTTAAGTACTTCTATTAAGTCTTAGTTGTAATATTTTCACAAAGTCTCTATCTTAAAGATATTATATCTAGAATTTAAATCTATATTTCTAGTATATTCTAAATCTATATCTTTAGTATCTATAGTATTTTTATCTAAAATATTTTTCTCTACTTTAGAATTAATCTCTAAATTATCTTTCGCTACTCTAGAACTAATTCTATTATCTTCTTTCTTATTTAATAAATACTTATCTTATATATATTTTAATAATAATGGATAACTAGAGAAGTTGTTTTTCTCTCTTCATCTTTTATTAAATTTTATTCTATTCTTTTCTTCTATTTTTTTCTTATTTGACTTATTTATATCTTTTAATTTAGCTATACTAATTAAAAAGCCTATAGAATCTGTATAGTCTTATTTATAAAATAGTTCTAATATTATAATAATAATAAAAGCCAAGTTAAGCTCCCTATATAGTCTAATAAATAATAAATATAATACTATAGCTTAGTCCTAGCTTATTAAAATTATAGTAGAGTTAAGAAATATAAATTAATATCTTTATAACTTTAAGTAAGATTATAACTAATATAATTAGAAAGAGTATATAAAAAGTAAATATAAAGAATAGTAATACTATAACTAAAAAGATAGAAATACTAATAATAATAATCAATAATTAATCTATTATTTTTAAGCTTTAAAATCTAATAATATTAGTTATTTCTTCCTAGATATAAAAATAGACTAGTATCCTAAAAAATAAGAATATTATATACCATACAAAAATAATAATTTTTTTGGTTTTGAGTTTAAAAATTAATAACTTAATCAATTCTTAACATTTTTTAAAATTTTTTGATAATTCAGAAATCTAACTATTTGTTAGATTTTTAGGTCTATTTTTAGAATTTTCTATTCTAGTTTAGAAAAGTTATTCTAAAAAAATATGTTTTTTTTAGAATTAGATACTATACTAATAGTTTATTCTTTTTCTTTAAAAAAAGAATATACTTTAATTAAAATATATCTTTATATAGAAAAAATAAGTCTAGACTCTTATAGTTATTTTCTAAATTTTACTAAATTTTTATCTAATTTATAGTTATTTCTATAGAATAGATAGATCTACTTCTCTTCTATAGTTATCTATATATACTATAAGTATAGCTATTTTACTTTTAGTTCTAAATTATATAATTTTAATATTCTATTTATATATAAACTATTCTATAAATTACTCTACTAATTATTTTACTAACTATTCTACTAACTACTCTACTAACTATTCTATTAACTATTCTATAAATAGCTCTATAAATAGTTCTATAAATAGCTTATAAATAGTTCTATAAATAGTTCTATAAGAAAGTCTATAAATAAGTCTACTAATAAGTCTATTAATAGTTCTACTAATAGTTCTATAAGTAAGTCTATAAGAAACAGTTCTATTAATAGCTCTATAAATAAGTCTATAAGAAATAGTTCTACTAATAGTTCTATAAGTAAGCTTATAAGAAAGTCTATAAAGAATAATTCTATTAATAATTTTATTAATAATTCTACTAATAGTTCTATTAATAGTTCTATAAATAAATCTATAAGAAATAGTTCTACTAATAGTTCTATAAGTAAGTCTAAATAAGTTTATAAGGAATAGTTCTACTAACAGCTCTGTGAGTAAGTCTATAAGAAAAGTCCTGCTAATAGCCCTACTAATAGCCCTGCTAACAGTCCTACTAATAGTCCTGCTAACAGTCCTGCCAACAGCCCTGTGAGCAAGCCTGCAAGGAACAGCCCTACTAACAGCCCTGCGAGCAAGTCTGCAAGAAAGCCTATGAAGAACAGCCCTACCAACGGCTCTATAAGCAAGCCTGCGAGGAACAGCTCTACTAACAGCCCTGTGAGCAAGCCTGTGAGCAAGCCTGCGAGGAACAGCCCTGCTAACGGCCCTGCAAGCAAGTCTACGAGGAAAGCCCTGCTAACAGCTCTGCGAGTAAGTCTATAAGAAAGCCTACGAAGAACAGCCCTGCCAACGGCTCTATAAGTAAGCCTACGAGGAACAGCTCTACTAACGGCCCTGTAAACAAGCCTGTAAGGAAGTCTACAGAGAACAGCCCTACCAACAGCCCTGCAAGCAAGCCTGCGAGAAATAGCCCTTCCAACAGCCCTATAAACAGCCCTACAACCGAGCACGTAAGTATAAGATAATCTATAAAATAGTCCTATAAACAGTCCTATTAATAGCCCTGCGAGTAAGCTCTATAAGTAAGTCTATAAGAAATAGTTCTACTAACAGTCCTATAAGTAAGTCTATTAGTAAGTCTATAAGAAATAGTCCTACTAATAGTCCTGCTAATAGTCCTACTAACAGCTCTATAAATAAGTCTATAAAGAATAGCCCTGCTAATAGTTCTATAAGTAAGTCTATAAGAAAAGCTCTACTAATAGTTCTACTAATAGCTCTGCTAATAATTCTGTTAACAGCTCTATAAGAAACAGCTCTGCTAATAGTTCTATAAGTAAGTCTATAAGAAATAGTCTTATTAATAGCTCTATAAATAAGTCTATAAGAAATAGCTCTACTAACAGTTCTACTAGTAAGTCTATAATAAATAGTTCTACTAATAGTTCTATAAGTAAGTCTATAAGAAATAGCTCTGTCAACAGTCCTATAAGTAAGTCTACAAGAAATAGTCCTACTAATAGTCCTGCTAATAGTCTTATCTATATAGAAATAGTTCTATAAGGAAGTCTATAAGTAAGTCTACTAATAAGTCTACTAATAGTTCTATAAATAATTCTATAAATAATTCTATAAATAATTCTATAAATAATTCTATAAATAATTCTATAAATAATTCTATAAATAGCTCTACTAACAGCTCTTTTATAAAGAAATAATTCTATAAATAAGTCTATAAGTAAGTCTACTACTAGTTCTATAGTTAAGTATATAAGTATAAGATAGTCTATAAAATAGCTCTATAAATATTTTTATAAATAGTTCTACTAACAGCTCTACTACTAGTTCTATAAGTAAGTCTACTACTAGTCCTGTAAGTGAGTCTACAACCAGCTCTACGAGCAAGCCTGTCACTGGTCCTGTAAGGCAGCCCAGCCCACCCTTTAGCAATCCGAGCGAAGCGAGGATCACCAAGGCTTGTATTATATATTTTAAGAATATTAATCTTTTTATTAATTAAGTTAAAGATATAATTTAAATATACTAGAAATTAGTAATATATATAAATATTACTAATTATCTTTATAATATAGTCTTTAATTAATATCTTATACTTAGTAAGTATAAGAAAGATATATATATATATATATATATCTTTATAAGATAAAATATTTAAAGATCCATATATTTACTTTAAGTTTAATATAACTTAGGCTCTTATCAATCTATAAGTGACTAGTAATTCTAAATAAATAGATATATACTAAAATAAGTTAATTTAGATATTTATCTAAAATATTATATATAAATATAAGACCTCCTATATTAATAATATCTATAAATAATTAATATTAATATAGATATATCTTTGTTCTAATCTTACTACTAGTATTCATCTATCTATATAAACTATAAGAATAGTTAAATTCTCAGCCAACTAGATAGTAAGATATTATTATAATAAAGATAGTTAAATAACAGATAAAAAGTCTAGTAGAGATATAAATATATATCTAACTATTATATAGATAATTATTAAGAAGAATATTCTTACTAGAAATACTATACTAATATATACTAAGATTATTTTAATAATAACTACTAAGACTATAATAATCCTTGAAGATATTAGAAAAACTAATATAATAAAAACTACTAATATAACTATTCTTTTAGAGACTTTTATATATTCTAGTATAGTTATAACTAGTAAAATAATCTTAACTATAAAAAGTCTTAGTTTACTAATATAAATCTAAATACTAACTACTTATGTAATAATAGATATTTCTTTTAGAATATATAGAATATACTAGAATAGAGTAAATTATAAATACAGCTACAGCTTCTATATTTCAGATAATTACTTTTAGCTGATTATTCTTAGAATAAGACAAAGAATAGAAGTACTAATTCCAGAGATACTAAGTAACTCTAGATTTATTTAGATAAACTATAGTAAGTCAGTCTATTAAATATCTATCTAAGATAATTATTAATTATAGTACTAACTATATATTACTTTAACTAATTCTACTATACCTAATAACCTTAGCAATATCTATTATAATTATAATAAAGAATAGACCTATTATAAGAATTAGACTAATATATATTATAGTGATTATCATAATGATAATTATAAGAATTAATAGTTTAATTATAATAATAAAGATAATTATATATATCTTATCTTCTCCTTATCTAATAATAAACTTAATAATTTAATAGTAATATATAATTACTATTAATAATACTACTTTTCTGTTTTATAATAAATTATATTAATATATTTTATATATAGTAGTAAAAATTACTAATACTAAAGATTTCTTAAAGATTTTGGTACTAATTTAAGATAAGCTATATTTTCTCTTATCTACAAAGCCTATAGTAAATATAATAGAAGAATATAGAATACTCTACTTAGCTATAAGAGATATAAAAAATTAATCTAATTGGATATATAGTTAGAAAGATATACTACCTCTAAAACCCCATAATATAATACTATTAATAAGAAGAGATACTATACTTATATGTCTTAAGCTATTTAATGATATATTTATCTTTATTAGATATAAATAAGATATTAATATTAATATACTCTATATATAGTATATAGCTATAATTCTCTTAGATCTTAATAAGAAGACACATCTAAGAGCTATATATCTAAATATAGATTATAGCTCTACTCTTATTAGTAAAGTTTTTATCTTAAGTATTAAAGATATTTAGGTTTATTATATTAGTAAAGATATCTATATTACTAGTATTAATTCTAAGTATACTATAAAGAATATATTATTCTTTATATAGATTTTCTAAAGACTATAATAAAGTAGAAAAATAATAGTCCTCTAATTAAGCTCTTAGATATTAAATATTAATACAATTATATTACTATAAGAATATTTATTATAAAAAATCCTAAGTTTAAAGCTAATATACTTATTAGTATAGATATAATTAGTTATAAGAATATCTTACTTAATTACTACTACTAAAAAGTATATCTCGAGGACTGTATAAACATACATATATATTAATATAAAGATATAAGGTAAAAAATAAGTTAATATATCTATTTATTTAATAAAATATATTATTATACTAGCCTATAGTATAGTATATATACTAATCTATATAAAGATAGACTTATTTAAAAATATAGACTATATCTTTAAATCTTTATCTTATAAGAATCTTATAGTCTATATACATCTAATTAATTTAGATTTTACTTTTATTTAGATAATAAAGTAAATATTATATAAAATTATAGTAGTAAAATATACTAGATTAAATATAATTATAGATAATAAATTCACTACTATATATTAAGTTAAAGACTATACAGCTAAGCTTATATACTATCTAGATAAGTATGATTTTAAATACTTACTATAATATATAGAGAAGCTGAGATACTCTAATCTATTTAGCTTTAATAGATATTAGTATTATTATCTTACTTAATCTCTATTTAAGAATATATATTAAATCTATATTAAAGAATAATTAATATTTACTATAAATCTATAAAATTATCTATAAGATAAAGAGACTATAATTAATAGATAATTAACACTACTCTAATATTATAAGCTATAAATTGATAGATAGAGATAGGATAATAAAAAATATCAATACTATAAACAGCTATACAGTAATAGTTATAATAAAGAGAACCCAGATACAGAGTCTATTCTAGATATAGATATTCTAGATAAAAGACTATAACTACCCAAGGACTATAAACTACTCTATTCTATATCTAAAAATACTATTATATTACTAAGGGGTCAAGTTATCTATAGTATAGATTCTATAGTAGTTTATTATCTTACCTAGATAATTAATTAATATAATATATAGATAAAGCTAGATAAATTTAATATTAGAATTACTAATATATTCAAAGACTAATAGCTAGAAATATTTATAAAGAAAGATATTAAGCTACTAAAGCTGTAAATATATTATATTAGTAAATAAGATTAGAAAGTTATTAATAAGATATTTAATTCTCTTTATATCTAGAGTAAAATATCTTTTATATAAGATGATATTCTGATAGTATATTTTGTTTTTATAGTCTAGAGAAGAGTAGTTAATCTAATTATAAATACTAGAATAGCTAAAGAATACACTATAGTAGACTTATAAGAAGTTAATAAGAGAACTATACTAGACCTCTATTTAGTTCTACTTTAAACTTATATTATTTAGCTAGTAGTAGAATAAATTTATATTATAATAGTAGATATCTATAAATAGTTTTATTAATAATTAGTTCAATACATATATTATAACTATCTTACTATTATAATATATTAAAACTAAGAGATATTTTATATTATAATTATAGAATTTATTAATTCTGTTCTATATATCTAAAGATAAATAAATCCTAATCTTAAAAAACTTTATATATTCTATAGAGTCTATATTAATAATCTTATTATTATATTACTAGGTCTCAACTAGTATAGCAAGTATCTACATTTAGCATTTAGATAACTATAGATAATAAATATTAAGCTAGAGCTAATAAAGACTTTTATACTATTTCTATTAGTATAGCTTCTAGCATAATATATAGATAGTCTAGGATTATCTACTTCTAAAGGAAAATTAATAGCTATCTACTTTTTATTATATTCTATTATAATATTAGTCTTAGAGTATTACCTTAAGATTATAAGTTATCTTAGATATAGGATATTATATTATACTACTTATATATAGCTATTTTAGAAATAGAAGATTACTCTACTTAAAATTTTACTAAGCTAGAAAGACTAAAACTATAAGATATACTCTACTAAGACTATATAAATACTAACACCTAAAGAGCTTACTATATTTAAGAATCTATAGACTAAGTTTAATAAGAGAGTAGACTAAATACTAGTATACTTCTAATCTGAATAGTAGCTATATATAAATCTAGATATATCTAGAAAAGAATATAGCACTATCTTATATTATATTAATCTAAAGACGACTTATATAGACATCTCTAAACCACCTCTATATATCTAAATATAATTGGTTCTCTTTCTAAGCAGGGTACTTACTATATATAAGTATAAAGTATCTAGTCTACTCTACTAGATATAATTCTAAGAGAGATGAATAGATTAATAAAGTAGATATTGATATAGTAGACATAATATAGGATTTCAAGATTATTTACTAGAACTATAAGTAAGTTATCTAATCTATCCAGTAACTATTTACTAAGACTATATTTACTAAAATATCTCTCTCTTCATTAAGTAATACTACTCTTTTTTAAATATATCTTCTTCTTATCTATCTTCTTATTCTTTCTATTCTTAGCTATTATTTAAATATTCTCTTCTTTAATACTTTATATTCTTATTCTATTATTTATAAATATTTACTTAGTTCTTTTTCTTAATATACTATTTTATATTCTAAATACTATCTTACTTTTCTAGATACTATTATATCTAATTTTCTTTATTTCTCAAATCACTATCTTTCTTAAGAATATATTATTAGTATTATAAAGGTAATGCTCTTTAGTGGACTAGAAGAATATCTATATTAGAATATAGGTACTTAGTAGCTATAATCTAGTTATATCTATATTAAGAAAAATAAAGAATAATAAGACCAAGTAAATAGAATATAATTAAGTTATATAGATATAAAAACTCTTAATAGTTAAGTACTAAAATCTAATTATTTTAGAATAACTACTATAGAATATATATTTATCTAACTAGCTTATTTATCTTATATTTAAGCTTTTACTAGTAACTAAGTTAGGTATAATATTAATTTTACTTATAAAAGTCTACTTTATATAGATAGAGGGCTAATTAGTAAAACTATCTTAATTTATATTTATTATCTCTAGTAGTATTCTATTAAATAAGAGGAATATATTCTCTATAGAAATACTACTTACTTCTAGTAGTCTTAGCTTTTAGTAGAATAGTAAGAAATAAAGACAAATAGTTTACTAAAGAATAATAAATAGATAGAATATTATCTTAGTCTAAGAATATCTATAAGATTACTAATAAGATATAAATACTTATTATTATAATAAATTATAATACTATTAATTATTATAATTAAACTAAGCTAAACTAGATAAGTTAAAGTACAAGTAATATATAATATTCTTATAATAATAATCTTACAATACTTTATACTTATAATAATTATCTTATAATATGTTATACCTATAATAAGAATAATAAAAAAGCTATTCTTTTATTATTATTAAATCAGATTCTTCTAAAATTATTAGTTAAGATACTAAATATCTATATTTCTTAGAATAAAGATAATTAACTACTTAGTTCTAGACTAGATATAGATCTAGATAGTTAAAAAGATAATTCTATCATATTAGTTCTAAATTTATCTATTAATTATACTCTCTATTCTAATAAAGTATCTGAAATATCTAAGACTCTAGTAATATCTCTGCCTGTGTAGATTAAAGAAATAGTCAATGATATCTAGAAGCTTTTTAAAAGAATTATCTAAATACTTCAGATATCTATTCTAGAGACACCGCCTAATCTATTTATATAAAGGATAGAAATTAAACTTAGTCTACTAAAATTAGATAATAGATCTACTCTTCTAAGAAGACTAATATTAGACTTAGTCTACTAAAACTAACTAATAATATAACTTATACTATAAAGAGAAAGATATTAATATTCTTAGTTTCTAGCTTTAGTAAATATTATAGATTTATATGGAAGAAGATAGATAAGATAGTATTCTAGAAGAATATTAGATATTAGAATCTAGTTAATATTATTTAAGATAGAATTAATAATTTTAGATAAATTTATATCTAAATAATTTATTATTCCAATTCTTAAACTTTAATCTAAGTATAACTATAACTATGTTTATTATTATATTAATCAGAACTAGTCTAATGTAGATATTATTAATCTAGTACTTAAAGCTAATAAGAAGAATAAAAAATAATAGAATACTATTTCTATAAAAAAGTATCATATTTTTATTCCGAATTATATAGTAGCTGATATTATACTTAATTACATAAATATAATTATTTTAAGTTATTAAGCTATACTTATAGAATCTATACTTCTTATTAATTCTTTGAAAGATACTCTTAAGAATATTATAGATAAATAATAAGAGAATATAGATATATTTTAGAAGAAGTATATGACCATATTACTTCTTTAGTAGTATAAGAATATAACTATACTAGATAACAATAGAGACACTACTAGCTTCTATCTTATTTCTAAGAATAGCTTTATTAAAAATATTTATTATAAGAATGACTTTACTAAAGATAATAATAATAATAATAATAATAATAATAATAATAATAACTTATATTATTCTAATAAATTTATACAGTAAATTATAACAAGAATATTATAAACTAACAAGAAGACTACATATTAGAGATAGATATCTTTTCTTTCTCTATCTTATAAGAACTCTTTCTTTCTTGTTCTGCTGTCTTCTGTTAAGTTATGTTTAAGATCTTGCGTAGCTGGAGAGGATAGTAGAATGTGTTTACCTTTGTATGATGAAAACATCTTGACGTCTCGGCGTCCTGAGGGCTACGGGCCCAACGTATCAACTACATATATATTAATCTAGATATATCCAGAGAAGAATATAGTACTATCTTATATTATATTAATTTTAAAAAGACTTATATAAATATCTCTAAACTATTTTTATATATCTAGATATAACTAGTTTTCTTTTTAAATAGAGTATTTACTATATATAAGTATAATTACTAGCTAATAGAGATTAAGATATCTTATCTTATATAGATAATATATAAAATAGATACTATTTTAAAGTTATATATATACTAATAGTAGTATATATAGACTATATAAATATAATGGATTTTACTTCGAAAATAATCTTTAATATAATAGCACTAGAATATTTAAATCCTTATCTTATTTACATATTCTAAATTTATAAAAGAATACTAGTTTAAGATATACTATAGATTAGAAAAAGTAAATAGTCTAATAGATATACTTTCTTAACTTTCTACTAAAAATATATTATATATACTATTTATTCCTAATAATTTTCTAGAAGTAGAATTAGTAGTTATATAGAATAATATATTCTAAGTCTACTAGATAGATAGTATATCTTCTATTATAAAATAATAAAGTATAGTTCTTTAATAATCTTATTCTTAAATAATTTTGAAGAATATATCTATATACTCTATTTAAAAGATATATAAGTATTTTATACTATCTAGATACTATAAAATAATCCTATAATAATTCTATTATGTAGTATTAAAGATAGCTTACTCTATATATTTAGAAATATTATAGTTTTTCTAAGTACTATTAAACTAGCTTAAATATATTAAGAATCTTGATTATATATATCTTACTATTTTTAAAAATTCTTTTCTATATAGTTCATATTAATAATAGATATTAAAATACTAATAAATACTTTATAAACTATTTTCTAAGATATTATATTATATTAAGACTCTACTATATAAAATAAACATATATATTATTATATAAAACAAGCGTTGGACCCTCGGTACGCTTGGTATATGGAAGGATGGGCTGCCTTAAGACTTTCTCACAGGGCTGTTCACAGGGCTGATAATAGGGCTGTTTATAGGGCTGTTTTATAGACTACCTCATACTTATGTGCTTGGCTATAGGGCTATTAGTAGGACTATTAGCAGGGCTGTTAGCAGGGCTGTTCCTCGCAGGCTTCCTCGCAGGCTTGCTTGCAGGGCTGTTGGTAGGACTGTTCCTCACAGGCTTATTTACAGAGCTGTTAGTAGGGCTGTTTCTTATAGACTTCCTTACAGACTTCCTTATAGACTTGATTACAGGATTATTAGTAGAGCTATTAATAGGACTATTTCTTATAGACTTTCTTATAGAACTATTTATAAAACTATTTATAAGCTATTTGTAGAACTATTTATAAGCTATTTATAGAGCTGTTTATAGAACTATTTCTTATACACTTTCTTATAGGCTTGCTTATAGAACTATTAGTAGAGCTGTTTCTTATAGACTTGCTTATAGGACTATTTACAAGCTATTCGCAGGGCTGTTTATAAGCTATTTGAAGGGCTGTTTGTAAGCTATTTATAGAACTATTTGCAGGGCTATTTACAGAATAATTAGTAGAATAGTTGGTAGAATAGTTAGTAGGGTGGTTGATAGAATAGTTAGTAGAATAATTAGTAGAATAGTTAATAGAATAATCAGTAGAGTAGTTTATAGAATAGTTTATATATAGATAGAATATTAGAATTATATAATTTAGAACTAAAAGTATAGAAATTTTAATAGAATAGGATTACTAAGTTAATTAAATAAAGTAGAGTAAACTATTTATATAAAAAATACTAAAATGTATATTTAAAAAATCTAGAAAAATCAAAAAATAGAGATTGTAGACTAGAAATAGTATTAGACTATAGTAAAAATTCTAATCTATTTATAGAATTTTAAATTTTCTTAAAATATTAGTCTATAAAGCTTATATATATAATTTTTGTCCTTTTTCTTAATATCTTATCTATTTAGGTAAGTAGGGCTATAAATTTAATATAGAATAAAAGACCAAATTTTGCTGTAACAGACAAGTCTATTTTTAGAAAATTATATAAAGAATTAACTGAGAAATCGACTTTTTAATTGAATTGTAATATCTTCGTATATAATAGTAGTAATACTTATAAAACTATATCTATATATAGATCTTTTAATAGTTTAAAATTAATTATCTTACTAGTAATTCTTTTTTATACTATAATAATAGACTTTATTATTAATCTACTATTAGTAAAATATCTATCTATTCATAGACCTACTGCTAATATTCTAGAAGAGTATAATTAGTTGCTAATTTTTACAGATAAATTTGTAAAGAGAGTCAATTCAATATCTAGATATATATAGTAGTTTATAAAGAATATAAATTTATCGCGCCAGCTACACCAAACAGCACGCCACCATTGAATTATCGATTTGGAAGAGTGGAAGATTATATATAACTCTATCCTCTATTAATCTATCGCTTTTCAACGGTGTTTCTAATTCTTATAATTATATAATAGCTTAATATTATCTAAAATATCCTCTGAAAAGCTAATATAGTCTTAAATTAGAGCTAACTACTATTATAAAAATTTTTATATATATATATAATAGCTATTAATATTATTCTTAAGTAATTTAAGAAAAAACAGAAAAAAATAAATAATAGTCTATTAAAGTTAGTTTTTCTTCTACTAATTAAAAATCTTATTAATTTTACTAGTTAGATTATAGAGATATTCTTAGTAGATACTATCTATACAGATCTTAAGAAGATTAAAAGTACTCTTTAAATATAAATAAATTAGTAGCTATAGATTATAAGAACTATAAATATTCTTAGTATTAGGTCTATAGCTGCTACTTCTATAGAAATACTAAAGATATACTTATATATTAATATTATCTACTATACAGTTACTACTATTATCTTTAGATTATATATAAGCAACTAGCTTACTAAGACCTAAGCTAATATAATTAATATTATAGATAAATCAACTAACTTAAGTAGTCTATTAATATAGTTAGTACTTATTAAGAATCTTATTATTTATATATATAAGACTATAGACTCTGTAGTTAATCTACTATAGTATAATAATAGAGTCCTAGTAGACTATCTTAATAAAAGTATTACTAATATAAAGAATAAGATAATTATTTACTATAAGATTCTTACTAATTTTATACTATTTAGTAGTAATATAATTCTTATAGTTAATAATCTTAAGAATCTTAAATATCTTATTTATATATAAATACTCTAGATTAAGATACTTAGTCTAAATATAATGTTTAAGAGATATAGATATCTAATTATAATATATAGTATAGATATTAGCTGTATTAGTAATAGAGACTCTATAAAACTATAGAAATTCTTAATTAAGAGAATTAAGACTACTAATACTAGCTGTTTAGCTATAATATCTACTAAGATTATATATATTATATAATATAACTACAGAAGACTATTACTAAGAAGAATAAATTCTCTATATTAGTAGTTAAATTTAATAATCTAAATATAGTAAATACTCTTTTTTATAGAAGCTTTATACTTAATAATAAATATTTTAATATTAATTATTATAATTATAATTAGTAGCTCTTATAATACTTTAAATACTAGAAATATAATTATATTAAGTAATACTACTAAAGAAATAAGATCTATATATACTATATTAGATTATATAAATTATTAGATTATATACTTAAGAATAATAAAATATATACCAAGTATATAAACTATAGCTTAAAGTACTTTATCTTTAACTATATCTATATTAAGAAAAAGAAATATATTAAGACTATCTAATAATACTAGCTAAATATATTTATATTATATATTAAACTCTCTATTAGTAGTAGTAATACTACTACTTTAATTAAATAGATTAAGATTATTCTAGAGTTAAGCTCTAAGCTAGCTTAATTATAGTATATTTATAGCTATTTAACTATAAAAACTAAGATTAAGACAACTTATAGTAAGAACTGCTATAAATTAACTATAAAGCTAGAGACTATAAGAGTTCTAGCTATAGAGATTTTTACTAAGATAGAAATCTTCTATAGTAAATAGCTAAAGGAATACTATAAGAAGAATAACTAGAAAATTATAAAGATTAATATCTATAGCTAAAGCTTCTCTATAGATAAAACTATAGTATAGGCTGTAGTAAAGTCTATAATAGTTTTAATATATAGTCTTAGGAATATCCTAAGTACTATAAAATCTATAAATTACTATTATATTTAATATTATAACTAATTTATTATTCTAGATAAGAATAATAATAATAAGCTTAGTATTCTTATTTTTAATACTACTAGTTCTACTAAGACTAATAATAATATATAGATACTATCAGTAGCTTAAAATTATATAGATAAACTATTAGAAGCCTAATAATATTATAATATATCTTCTTAGTAAAAAGAGAATATAGAATATAGAACTTATTATTATTTAAGAGCTCTAGATAAACTACTATAGTAGTTAGTTAACTATATACTTCTAAACTCTAGAAGACTGTTTCTATCTAGTTATAAAACTAATATCTAGTATAGATCTAGTACTATACATCTACTTCTTTATAAGTAGATATATTAATCTAAAAATATAGATAATCTAATATTACTCTTAGTTTCTCTATACTCTTATACTATAGATACTAAATATTGGCTATATTTATATTTATAACATATACTAGTCTAGTAAGAGTAGTAATTACTATGAAATTAAAAGTCTAAGTCTATATCTAAATCTAAAGATAAAGATCTTTATAAAGAAAAAAAGAATCTAATTCTAGATCTACTATTTATAGTATTATAGAAATTAGATAAATATATAGTTCTTAGTAATTTAAACTTATATTATCTATTTTAGAATCTACTAGAATATAACTATACTATTAAGATAGCTGCTATTCAGCTACTTTAATATTACTATTAATAAGAATTTAGAACTACTTCTATTTAAGAAAATAATTATATATAAAAAAGATAATATTTATATTATAATTAATCTTATATAGACTATATAGTAGCTTAGTAAGTATCTCAGCTACTATTCTTTATAAAAGAACTAGTAGCTGGGTATTAACTATATACTAACCTATACTATACTTGATTTCAGCTCTGTATCTATCTCCATAGTAAAGTACTGGGATTAGCTAAATACTAACTAGTAAGCCTATTAGAAAGCCTTAACTAAGAGTCTATAGTTATAATTACTTATATATTAACTAATTAGACTAATTACTATTAATACTGTAGTAGAGAATCTTATTAAGACTCTAATTATAACTACTAAAGCTACTATACTAATAAAAATAATTATAAACTATATATAATCTAAATATACTAAGAAAATAAAGAAATTAAAATACTAAGTATAGTAAATAAAATAATAGACTAAATCTAGCTACTATATAGACTATAAAGTTTATAGCTAAGTTTATAATATACTTTACTAATAGACTACTAAGCAGAAGTATTAGCTTTACTAAGAGAAAATAGAAGATAGAAAGTACTCTATTAAGAGATTCTAGAAATTAGTCTACTAGATCTATATATAAAAAAGTCTATAGCTAATATTTATGTCTATACTATAAGTATTAACTAGTAAACTAGTTAAGAAATTAAAGACTAAAGCTAAGCTATTTTAACAGATTCTATTTTAATAGTTAATATTATAGATCTTACTAATATTAAAGACTTTAAATATTCTAAGTCTTATAAAGTATTCTAAGTAATTCTAAAGAAGATCTACTAAGTTATTTAGTAAATTATATCTAGAAAAACTTTTAATTCTAATAGACTATCTAATCTAGTTCTCTAGTAAATCTTTCTTTTATTAAAGAATATCTAAGTAAGATCTTTAATATATATCTTAATATAGACTACTACTCTTAGTACTTCTACTATTCTACTACTATTATTATCTATAAATTAAATAAGAATAACTATATTATATCTAAGAACTACTATCTAATTATACTACTTAATATTATAGATAAGATTCTAAAGACTATTATTATCTCTTAGATAAGTTATATAGTAGAGATTCTAGACTTACTTCTAGAGTATTATATTAGTAGAT